TCTGATTTCTGTGTGTGGTGGTGTTGTCGTTATTGTCAAGCATAGATGCTCTACCACATTTTGGATAGCGGGGAAGGAAGGGGAAGTGGTCACAAAACCAGATCAGGAAACATACAATTGTATAGTAGTGAGAATCACTGATCTTAAGTAACAGACTCTGCCCAACCTTGTTGTTTCCTGTTATGTTCCATTAGTTCTATTTCAATATGGTCTCAGGGTAACAAAGATGGTATCAATTGTGTAATTAAAAGTTACCTAATCATGCATTGACAGATACATAAGATATTATTAATGCCATTATTACAAGCAGAACAATAACATCAAATAAGAAGGCTGGAAGCAGTATCCCAGCACTTTGGGAGACTGAGGTTGGAGGACTGCTTAAGAACAGATGGCTCACGCCTGTAATCCCAGCACTTTGGGAAGCTGTGGTGGGTGGATCACCTGAGGTCAGGAGTTTGAGACCAGTCTGGCCAACGTGGTGAAACCCCGTCTCTACTAAAAATACAAAAAATTAGCCAGGTGTGGTGGCACATGCCTGTAGTCCCAGCTACTCCAGAGACTGAGACAGGAGAATCGCTTGAACCCTGGAGATGGAGGTTGCAGTGTACCGAGACTCCTACAGGTAGGAAAGGCAAAGTCATACTCAGAGAAAGTATTGATTCCTGTGAGAGCAAATCTCTGGCCCTTCTCAGATACAGTGGCTCACACCTGTAATCCCAGCACTTTGGGAGGCTGAGGTGGGTGGATCACGAGGTCAGGAGATCAAGATCATCCTGGCTAACACGGTGAAACTGATCTCTACTAAAAATACAAAAAATTAACCTGGCGTGGTGGCATGTGCTCATAGTTCCAGCTACTGGGGAGGCTGAGGCAGGAGAATCGCTTGAACCTGGGAGGCAGAGGTTGCAGTGAGCCGAGATCATGCCACTGCACTCCAGCCTGGGCAACAGAGTGAGATACCGTCTCAAAAAAAAAAAATTAGCCATGTGTGGTAGCATGTGCCTGTAATCCCAGTTGCTCAGGAAGCTGAGGCAGAAGAATCTCTTCAATCCAGGAGGTAGAGGTTGCAATGAACTGAGATCAGGCCACTGCACTCCAGTCTGGGTGACAGAGGAGATTCCGTCTCTCTCTCTCTCTCTCTA